TTGCTTGCGTAGAATTCGGGGACTTCGGATTTTACGTATCCTAAAAGCTTTTGAAAGGACGTAATTGTTTAAGTTTGTGTCTCTATATGTAGAATTTCCTTTTTGAGCGAACTGTTGCAAAATGTTGTTTCAAAATGGAGTTTAAAATGCTGCAGTAAACATATTCTGCATTCTGATAAAAAAAAAAAAAAAAAATTCTTAAATGTTCTGATAAGTCAGAACTTTTTTTATATTTCTTACTGGTATGTGAAGATGTGATACTTTATGTAATGTTTTTATACAATGGGAAGATGCGCTCTTCAAGTTCAACAAGTAATAATGTTTTTATACATAAAATATGTGTATGATGTAATATGTGTGATGTCCTAGTATGTGAAGATATGATATTCAAGCTCGGTTAAATATCGCTTAATATACGCTGTTGTCTACTATTCTCTACTACACCGCTACAGTTACATATTTACAACTATATACTTGACATCAAGTACCTAGCATTCAAATAAGGGATCTATAATGTATTCAGATTCTCAAAAATTTGCACGACAGTGTATAAACAGCTGGATTTTAGCATTTTCAGCTGTGGAGTTTCTTAAGTTGGAAACTGCTGCTGCTCAAATATGGCAGTTCTTTATTTCTTAGCTGAACGGAGAAGCGGTATTTCACGTCCTTGCTCCTTAAGAATTACGAAATCACTTTGCGTCGAAATAAAAAATACAAAATTTCTCGAATTAATACGATAATAACTTTGAATCTAATTTTTTGCTTTAGTAAATTTTATGAACATTTGTTTTTGTTAGCAAACAAAAGAATTTTTGTAAGGTTTAAGGACAATGAATGTGATGAGCTGCCAGATCTGGTTCCTGTTTTCGTCAAGAAGGGTTAATGACAGAATTATCTTTTCTTATGTAACGTGTAACAGTTTCGTAAGCTTCGAAATTTTTATCTAAATATTTAAATTGAGGAAAGTTTTGTATGAAACAGTACTTCCTCCCTATTTGTAATAATTATATTTTCTTTAAATGATTTTATTTCTAAGTCGAAATAATTACTATATTTTGATTTTTAATTTGCAGCCAAGTCGATTGAGAAGTATGCCGAAAATTTCTTTCTGGCTGAAAGGATCCCTTAAAAAAATATTATATAATCCCAAACTCGAATTTGGTATTAGAATAAGTATGGTGTCACATTTGTCTGACCTCTAGAGTCAGAAATTAACCTAGTAGTAGGTACAGCTTTTTCTTAGAACATCATAAGTATTAACTATTTTTAAGACTATGTAATGACACTTTGCAAAGCAAAAGCATTACAGTAAGCCTCATTACACAAAGTAGCGTTAGTAGTATTACTACCTACTTCAATTGTACCTGCATACATGTTCTCTATCTGTCTTTTTAGGGGGGGGTGCAATTGTAATTGTATTTATATACACTCTGCATCTATGTATAACCCTTGTTTTGCTTTGCTGCTTATTGCTGCAATAGAAATCAGTTTATACCTCAATTGTATTATATTTATTACCTTGTCCAATTCTATTATCTTAATTGCTTCATTCAATAGAGTAAGTAATATTAATGGCACCTTAATACATTGTTCAATAGTGTTTTGCGACTTGGCCTGATATTGGCATAATATATGATATGTAATTTCAATGTTCAGTCATACGTGTGTCTGAAATGCAGTCATGCATCTTAGATTTGTAATACTGTAACTGCGCTTGTTAAGTCCTAAACTTACAACCAACAATCTCTTTCTGAACACGGGTATCATCGGTGATCTCATTTTGTCGGTAATTAGCACAAGACTGTGTAACCTGTAAGGACTTAAGCATCGCTTTTAATTAGCCTTATGAATTTCTTATTCATCATGTGTTTGTAGCAGTCTGTTCTGCCGGCCCTCTTGCGGAGGCAGCAGTATTAGATCTCTTCTGCAAGGAGGACAATAATGCTATGAGGCAAATTTTATAGCCGTAGGGCAGGAGACAGGAGACCATCAACAGAGCAACTGCACCATCATTACGACTTTCAGCTTTTGTGCTCTATTGATGGAAACTATCTACCATCCGCTATCAGCGGTATTTATTTGAAATAAAATTTTACAAAGTTACAATGGTTGTGCAAATATACATATGACATACAGAGACATATTATACAGGTCTTGTGTTTACATAAATGGCAATTTTAACAATAAAACTCATAACATAAATATTTAGAGAATTGTTACTTAAGTTGAAAATTTATGTTTACTGATTTTTATATATTAATTTTGAAGAATAACCAAATTATATAATATAAAATGCCCTTATACATTTTAAGAGAGTCTAGAAATAAATGAGTAGTCTGTAACTGTAGAGATAAGTAAAAGGTAAACAGTCTTTGAGAATATTAGTAGGTCATGAATAAAAGAAGAAAACAGTCCTTGAGTTGTAGTCTTTAAATTAAAAATATTTGAGTAGAAATTCATCGAAGTCAAGATTATTGACATATAAACATGTACAATAGCAGCCCTCTTCTGTAGCGTAAAAGTGAAAGTAAAAAGTCAGCCCAAGCCCTCGAAATTTCTCGTGACAAGGAGCGCAAGGTACGCCTATCGTTGGCAACAGTCTTGAGCACCTTACAGGTGACAGGCGATTTAGCTTAGATACTTAGATACTTAGTTGTAATATACTGGGTTTCTACTGCACTGCGGCAGTACTTCCCAGTAGCATGAGAGATATCCCGAAGGAACATAGATTTGAAGGAAAATCAGTTACGTCCTGTAGCAGGAAAAATCAGAAGAGGCTAAAAAGAAAAGAGTGCGATTTAGCTCAGTTCCGCTCCCAATTTTATTGGAGAGCACCCCGGGGAGGGGACGGGTCGAGGGTTTCCCCTCTTCCCCTACCATAACTTCTCGAGAGGACTTTCGGCTCACCGCATATTTAGAGTGCCTCCATGTCGCACAAACATCCATACCTTCTCTGGGATTTGAACCCGGGCCCTTTGGGACGGCAGTCAGCGACGCTAACCGCTATAACAAGTGGGCGGCGAATATGTATGCGATTGAGAACAACATATTACATTTATAAGCCTTAAATATATTCTTGGAATTTTGCTAAATTCAAGAAGAATAAGAGCATTATGAAAACTAGCTCTCTTTATGAAGCCACTATATATATTAACTTGACTCAATACTCGATTTGGGGCTAATTTGTGGTGGTATAATTTCGCTTTCCATTTTATGAGAACAAATACTTTCTCTTAAATTAAAATGAAATAGCAGTAACTGGCAGTTTTGTTAAAACTCTGCAATATACATACCTCATTTTTAAAATCAGGTAAATGAATATTTAATTAATTTAGCTGTAATTAAAAAAGTAACGCAGAATTTCGTTCTGTTCAGCGGGAACTTTTCTTGCCTGAAAAAAATCTGTTAGCACTGCATCGATGTTAAAAAGAAGAATCAATATTGATATAAAAACGGAAAGTTAAATAACTGCCCTACTACCTGCTGGAAGATAAACAGCTTCAGCAACAATGCCAAAACACGCAATATTTCAAAATTCATACTAAATGATTATTTTATAACATGCAATATTTCTGTAGATCATGAACTGAATGCAACGTTTTTTAAATTTCTGTATCCCCAGTTTATTTCTTCTCTTATGTGGCTCTTATACTCTTCACCCGAAGTGTATCATACTCCTGTGCCTGTAAAGACTTTAGAATTAATAAAGAATTTTTAGTGGCTCATCGGAACTCACAATTAGATGTATGATTACTGATTAGTAGCCTTAGATGTTGTTTAAAAGCGAAATGCAGATTGCTTAGGTATCACTAAGGGAGCTGAAAAACACTTTCTATCATTTTCTATTATGTACTTGCATCTATTTAGCTCATTTTCACAACTGTTTTGGCATTTGTGTGTTTAGCACAACGGCAAAGTACTAGAGGGCTCTCTGTCTAAAGGAATTTATTTCAGGATATTCTAAGAAAATCTGCATTTTAATCACATTACATATATGTAAAAAAAAAAAAAAAAAGAAAGGAAAACATGATAGCAGCCATATAGCCAACCCTTTCGTCAGGTTTCAAATGTGAATGGAAAACCAGTGTTCAGTAGTCTTATCCATTCGGCCGTGGTGGATCATTACTAGAGCGAGATACGTCAGATTTATTGTAGGATACTGTAGAATTAAGAAAGATTGATTTTAAAATTAAAACATATGCTGGTAAGCCACTTAGAAGTTTGCCGTCCATTGAAAACGTTAAATTAATGGCGATAGCTTGTATACTGGAAACACACAATCGACACATAAGTAGACAAAGCTTGTATCAACCAACGAGTATTATTAAGAAGGTTAGGTTATTTAAATATATCAAAAGACATGAAAATTAATTGCCAAAGATGACGGATGACCTTCGTGGAGGACTTTCTGAGGAAACTTGGCTCGTATTCACATTACACATGACGAAAACAACGAAACACTTCCATACACAAAACCCTCTCGCTTAGCTTGACCCCAGATCAGATTTCCAATATTAAGCTGTCTTAACAACTCAACCATTGATGCATACATACGAAGACGAAAAGAATTTGATTAAATTACTATTTTTAAGACGTTTTTCAGGATCAAAACTGGTTATTGAGCTGCCGTATCTAAACTGTGCCCAAAAGAGATTGTAGATTTTGGGGTCGTATTCCTTAAATAATAAACGACTGAAAGTTCATTAAGAGACGATTAGCTTTCGATCTTCTTGATCATGATGTTACTAAATCTCCACTGTTTTAATTAAAGGGGAGTTAGATAAATTTTGACTCATTTAAGGAAAAAGAAGTTGTTTACTTCCTCGTGAGATACGAATTATTATTTAAATCGGAATCTGGATCTAACTTAAATTCAGAAGCGCTTATTTGTAATCAGAACATCTGTTCTTGTAAAAACATAGTTATTATTTTTTTCCCTTTGATATTAGTTTACTCTACAGTCAGTTAAATTAACGGATCCCATTTCTTCCCAACACTCAATTCGAATCAATACTGCGTGACGCAAGACATCCAGCCGTTAACGCAAGCGCAGTCGATTTTTACCTTCGAAGGAAGAAACCGAAATGTCGACTACCGGTTGGATCTTCCTTGGAATTCTCTTTTCTAGCCCTTTTATACAAGCGGCTAAGCATAAAGGTAATTTTAATATCTTTTATTTTCCTATTTCTAATGAAATTGATTCAAATAACAAAAGAATTTGGCATCATTTAACGCATTCAAAACAATCGAATGAAAAGAACTCAAAATTACGAAGCTGAGGTGATAAATTTTACAGTTTGTTTATCATGATCTTGATCTGATAAATGACTTTTAACATTTGTTGGGACGTTAACAAGACTCATTGCTTGTATTTACCAGTCGGTTATCTCTTAGTTTATCAGTTACCTGTTTTAAAATATTACAACTGACGAACTCAATGCGTATTTACTTTAGTGAACATACTCATCATTATTTATATCGATTAATTTTAAGATATGATTATTCAAGAAGTGGTATAATTTATATTAAAGGTTCGTTATATCATTTTTAAGATAAGATTTCATAATTTTATATTAATTTCTGTTAAAAATGCATAATTTAACAGTAACAAGATATTCTTAGTTTCGATTTTGATGCTCAGAAATAATAAATAATAATATAATTTCGTAATTATTAATAATAATTTCGTAAATAATAATTTCTGGCAAGTCTGAAAAATTCAGTTCTGATTTTTTTTTTTTTTTTTTTTTTTTTTTTTTTTTTTTTGCATATTCCAACTGATAAACATTAAATGAAAAAGCTAGATAATTAGCTACATGATTGGCTTCTACTCAATCTAAACCGCTTGATTGGCTACACAGAGCAAAGCCGAGGCTATAATATCAATATAATCTAACGGAAGTGGCTAGCATACAAATGTTCAGCTACAGGAGCTGCTTTCAAACACTCGACATAAATTTGAGACTAACTCTTCTACTGCGACCTCTTAAAATCTGCTACTTATATACAATTCCCGAACTCACTTAGATTTGCATATACATAATTTAAATTTGCATTCAGGCAGGAAATTGAAATCAGAAGGAAAAGTAAAGTTTCTTAAAATAAAAATAATTGGTTAGGACAAAATAAGGTATTTACAAATATTGAATTATATGATTGTTTCACTGAATTCTTTACATGAAATTTATTTTATACAGAATGTAACTTACATCAGTAACTTCTATTACAATGAAAAAATATAGAGGGGAGAGGCTTTTCCCTAGGCTTCTAATTTTATAAATAGGGCGCAGTTTCATGCTATATATTATGTTCGGCTGCATAGACAGGATAGTGGTTAGTAACTTTGACTGCTATACTGTGTTTTGTGATTTGATAAATTAATGTGGTATAGTTGTTAGTATATTGCAAACTGGGTTATGTTCTTAAAAAATTCTTTTCAACTCCTGTGGGTACTTTTTATTCTAAGGGTTCGAATGCGAATTTAACCAATTACTACGTTTTTGCAAAATATTAGTGTATGTAAATCTAGTTTATTTTCTTAAAGTAATGTTATAAACGTTTTAGGAATTCAGAGAAGCAAAAATCTAATTCTTGTAATATTAATTAGGCGTTAATGATTAAATATGCTGTCAGAGAAGAAATCTCATAAATCTTGCCAATTGTAATTATTAGTTCCTATTTTGCAAACAAATCTTCATTAAATATTATTTAGTATTTATATGATTCGTGCTTTCTTCAACAAATTGTTTTTTATCATCATCACCATCCAAGGCCGTCTTAAGGAATTCGGCGCCCAAGGGCTACTAAAAATAATGCGCCCTTCTTCCTAAGAAAATACACAGAATGGCAAATGGGAGTCGGAAAAGTTATACAAAACAAAAGTGTCAGAACTAGAAAAAACTATTTATTACTTTTATAATAAACTGTTATCTTTTATTGTAACTTTTCTTTAAAGTCACTTATTTAAAAGATGGGTATAAATGTTTACCCAGATTTGAGGGGATTATCTCAATAATGACAGTTTTCGATCAGTTTTTAGTCTAATCGTTAGAACTTGATCGGAACTATTATATGATTCTCCATCAGTGCATAACATAAACAAAAATAAAATTTAATTAATATAAAAAACCATTTAAGAACAAAAACACACCTAATCTAAACAAATCTATATAAATGCAAACTGTATACTTTATTTAAATTTACTTTCTAGCTTTTTCCTTTTGGCTAAAAAAACGGATTCAATAATTATTCACTATTGTATTTTATAATTTTTCAAAATGTAATTCTCATTTCATATATAGCATTATTCAATTTAATTAATTGAAACCCTTGAATAATGTAAATTCATTTTGAGTATTTTTACTCGGATTGTCCCATGCAACGTATTTCGTCGAATTTCCGTAATTATATTCATCAGATTTAAGGTTCGTATTCGTCGATTTACAAATTTTTTGATCATGCATTCAATTGAAAAACTTTTTGAAGCGATTCTCATTTTTAGCAGTTTCCAATTCTTGAACAAAGCGAAAATTTTAGTTTTGTTCATAGCCCGCAATCAGCTCTTTACATTTTTGGGAAAAATTTATTTAAAACAATGTTTTAATTGTAAGTTTTTCACTGCTTTATAAATTGTCCATGTCCAAAAAATTAATTTTAAGGCCGTTAATTCATAATCAGATCTAATCATTGCTTTAAAATACAGTCTTGCATTTCTGAGCTCTTATGGCCAGTATTCTCCAAAAATTTTAAAAACCTTTTAACGGGTGTCCCATTTTTAATGACATATCTTACGACAATGGTTAATTGATCCATATGGGAAATATCGGGCGTCGAATCTATTATAATAGAGCAATATTTTGCCTCTTTTAGTTCCGTGATAATAAAACATCTAACATTTCTGCCCAATATTTTTAGAAACTCATCACAAATATTTGCAGATAAATAAGAAATATTCCCAGTACCTTTATTTGCAAAATTAAATATATGTTGTTGCAAAATAGGGTCAAATTTTGCTAAAAGTTCTAAGCACCCTAAATAATTCCCATTATGTTTATCACCAATAGTTTGGATTTTTCTCCCCTAAAAGCCAAACCCCTTGAACTTAAAAATTTTATGACTTCGATGATACGTTCTAAAATATTTTTCCAGTAATTCGTATTTTTTTCCATTGATATAATAGAATAATTTTTGAAATATTCCCATTTTTCTGTAGATCTGTTCACAATTATACCGGTGTTTTCTTTATGAAGGGCTGAATTTTCATGGTCCGAAATTTTTTCACTGTGTTTCCAATCGTTAAAACCTGCACTAAATGGATTATTGGCACTACCAAACAGTTTGCAAGGGATGCAATATACTTTTCCTGAAGTATTTGAGTATAAAAGCCAGTTTCATTTTTGTTGTTTTCCGTTTTGTAAACGTCTATAAAATATCATTTTTGTAGCATACCTGCTGTGATTTGTAGACCACTTTAGATGCAGAAAAGTCTAGTTCTTGAATATCTACCTCTACGTTAGATATGTTCTTCATTATATCTATAATTTTATCTTCGCTTATCTTCCCCATAATGCTGGATCAGTATAATTAACACTCAACATATTACTAAGTTCATCTTCATCTAAATATTCTCTTTCTTGATCTTCTGGCTGTGGCTGTTCCATGTTTTTGTTGTTTCTGGTCCTCTTCTTTTTCTTTCACATTTGATTGCTGGGCATTATTGTCATACTGTTGTTGATTTTTTTCTTTTCCCTCTTTGTGTTGCTCATCCTCTGTAATATCCATAGAAAGTGTTTCGCCTTTTTTAAAGAAATTTGTTAATGTAGGCATTTTTTCCAAGAGAGCTTTTTGCCTCGCCTCTTTCTCTTCTTTTAATTTACGGTTGGCGGAACCAGATAATTTTTTTCGTTTATGTTCCATGGTTAGTCTTCCTACATAACGGAATAAAAAATTGTTATAAACTGTTAAATATGTATATATCATTATTAATTAATTTTTAGCTAACATATACACTAGTGGACAAAAAAACGCATAATGAAAAAAATGGCATTTAGCAACATAATATTTATTAATTTTAAAAGGTTAAAAAATAAATTGGTTTTTTTTTTCTCATTTTATATTTAAAAATATATTTACTTTAAGGTATAAAGAAATTAGGTAGTATATTGAACGGTTTATAAAAATCAAAATGGACAAAAAAAATGCATATTGTTTAATTAATACCTTGTATGCCCGCCCTTTGCTTTAAAAAGTGCTTCAGCTCGATCTGGCATACTTTCGACCAACTTTTTGCAGAAATCCGGATCAATCTTGTCCCATTCTTCATGCGTTATCCTTTTTAACTCAGTGTTTTTTTGGCTGTCTTTCCCTTATTCTTGTTTTCAGGTGAGTCCAGAGATGTTCTATTGGATTCATATCTGGTGATTGGGATAGCCAGCTTAGCACAATAATCTTCTTATCTCTGAAATATTCTCTTGAATGCATTGAACGATGCTTTGGATCGTTATCTTGTTGGAATTCATATCCATTAAGACCCATTTTTGAAGCTGACAATGCAAGACAAGAGTCGATTATCCTAGTATATTTAAGGGAATCCATATTTCCCTCAATGATCGTTAACATTCAAGTGCCATTAGAGCTAAAACAACCCCAAACCATAATATATGCCCTCCGCCATGTTTAACAGTAGGCTTTAAATTTTTCAAATTATATCTTTCCCCTACCTTACGACGCACATATCTTCGTCCATCTGATCCAAACAAGTTTATCTTGGTCTCATCTGACCAGATTATGCTATTCCAATGCTCTTGAGTGTAATAAACCCATTTCTTAGCATGCTCATATCTGCTTAAAACATTTTCAGGACTTAAATATGGTTTAGAACAGGCAACTCTGCCAGGCAAACCTATAGAACACAATCCACGACGAATTGTTCTAGATGAAACACATTTTCTTTTTCTGTCATTTAATATATTTTTCAATTTATTTGATCCTAATTTAGGATCTTTTGAGATTTTGCTTCAAAAAAGTTAAATCACCTGATCAGAGTGACAACTTTCGGCCAGATCCCGGTTTTCGAGATGAAGACCCTCTTTAAATCATGTTCGTTCCTCACTTAAAGCACAGTGTCAAATCCTATAACAACGTACTCTGATCAACGATCTTTCTAATTTGCTCCTAAAATTTTACTGGACAATTTCCAATAATTATGCCTTCCAAAAACGTTAGAAGATGCTTTTAAGAATCTTAAAAGTTCTGGCGAAAATTTCCGTTAGTTCAGTACACGCGTCTCAGAATCAAGAATATACTACCCTAAGACTTCTTTAGCTGATTTTATCCCCAGCAAGGAATCAAGGGAGTTAACGTTTGCACTTTCAATTGCTCCACATGAATCCCCCGAGGTTCTTCTACAAACTACATTACAGTTTTGAACCGTACGTGACCAGTAGATCCAATGTAGTTATCTCACTGACAGTAATAAATGGAACTGAATTTCTTACTTAACAATTCTGGAAATTGTTGATTGATTTACGGAGTATATTTTTGCTAACTCCATTTGGCTCATTCCTGACTCGTGGAAAGCTACAATTTGAGCCTTGTCTTCAATTGATAATTGCTTTGACATGGATGCACTGAATCATAGAATTTTTTTATGTTTTTGGCGGGAAAAGGCAATTTTTTTTAATATGCATTTTTTTGTCCACTTTTATTTTTATAAACCGTTCAATATACTACCTAATTTCTTTATACCTTAAAGTAAATATATTTTTAAATATAAATGAAAAAAAAAAACCAATTTATTTTTTAACCTTTTAAAATTAATAAATATATCTTGCTAAATGCCATTTTTTTGATTATGCGTTTTTTTTGTCCACTAGTGTATGTAAAGGAAAAGCACTTACCTTAGGAAGATAATAATAATTTTAATAATTTCCACTTAATTTTCAATTTTTAATTCACCTTATTCAGTCGACAAATACTAAAATTATATCAATTTTACTTTTGTCGTGCAATCTATATTAAGGTACGCATCAGTGACCCCTTTATGTTCCTATCTTTTATCAGGATTGTTAAAATAATACAATTTACGTTTAGATAAATGAATATGCCCTGCCGACGCGGTGAGTATACGTAGGTGGTCTTATATTAACTCCAGTATAGCTCCGACAGTTCAAATGCGACTGAAACAAAAGTACGATCGGTAGGGTGTTATTCCTATTTCGCGTTTCCCTTCTCTATCTATCGTTTTTCATCACATTTGGAAGAAATAAAAATCAGTTTAATATTTTAAGAAGTGTTTTAATTTAAAAATAAGTAAAAACTAATAAAATGAAAAATAAATTTTTACTATATCGCATATAAAAAATTGCCGCCTCAAAAGGCTTGCGCCCTGGGGCTATAGCCCATTTAGCCCTGTGGTTAGGGCGGCACTGTCACCATCATTGTTATTAGCCCAAAGGGCGTTAAGCCCATAAGGGCTATTTACTTTTTTGCCATTTTGCGTCGAATTACTATAAATGGCGTATCACTTTTCAAATTGTTGCCTGCAAAATATTATCGTCCTGCAATATATTTAACGAAATTAAATAATGAAGAATGTGCAAAAATGTATGTATATTTCTCGCATTATGATAAAACAACGGTACATAGAACCATCAAATTTTGAATACCGTAATCCTCCACCCGAATATGGGCATCTGGAAGCCAAAATTTGGGTTTTTTTTTTTTTTTTTTTTTTTAATTATTATTATCTCTTTCATATTATGTAAAACTTTAGCGAATTTTTGATTAAGAAACTCAACCGATTTCAAAGCGTGCAATGGCAACACTGTACGGGAAAAAAAAAAAAAAAAAAAAGCTCCAGCGCTTGAGACTGTGTGTCGGAAATTCTAAAGATATGCTCTTTTTAAATTATTTCGTCATGTTGCTGTTGAATTGAATTTTATGGTTTCAGTGCGAAGAACATAATATTTAATAAAGCTAACACACAAAGCGTTTAAAAAAAAGCCCCCTTTGGGCGTAATGTAAAATCTAAAAGCTTTCAGATTTTTTAAAATTATTATTATTGTTATTATTAATGCTGCTGTTTTCAGATGAGACAACCGGTGGAACGAAAAGGCATCGGCGTAGCCTCACAGATTTAAATTCCATGGTTCAGAGCATCATCGGACGCGAAGGTTCTGACTTCATTGGTTACGGAAACTGGTGTGGATTGGGAGGATCGGGTCGTCCAGTTGATCCAGTCGATGAGTAAGCATCCATTAAAGTTGTAAAAATCAACGAGTTCTGTAAATATTAATAGCAACAGTTTTATCCTGAACATTCAACAGTTTTATCCTGAAAATTAACTATTAACACACAGTTCGTTGACACAATAATTTTTTACATATTTTTTTTTTCAGGAGAAATGAACTTGATCGCAATATTTCTGGTCATTTTGAAATATCCCCCCCCAATGCGATACAGTTTGCTAACTAAACATGGAAATGGCAAAATGTCACGGTCATTCGGCAGTTTTATCACTGAAAACATTGCCCTTGTCGCACAACAGTGGTGCTCAAACGACATCTGCGAGAACGTTCTTTCTCATCTTTGAATGAGAACGCCGGAGAGACACATTCGAAGTTCCTCTGCCACCAAGCCCTCGAGACAGTTTTGGCGAGTGTTTTAAGTGCCTCCTTGCCGCAGAAACATTATACACTTATAAACACCCATACCTTTTGAAGCCATACCTTATGAAGACTATGCCAGTCGGCTTCTCTATCACCAAAAGTGCAGCTTTATTTAACTACAGCTTGGCTGTATTTCTTTAAAGAAAGGGCAAAAACATTTTTTATGACAAATTTAAGCTCAGCTTTATTAATTAGTCAAAAATAAAGCTGTAGCAAATAATTTTTATGCTGCAGTGGGTAAAGGAAGTATTAAATAATACATTTTTTAAATAATTTATTTGTTGTAATTATTTGTACGTATTTGTTTATATACCTATTTTATCACATTTTAGTCGAAAAATTTTAAGTGTAGAGCTATTTGCATTCTGCTGACAACTCTGATAGAACTGAAAATTTGGAGCGTATTCAGTTGGCAGTTGTCAAAACTAAAAACTGCTAAAACTAAAAACTTTTGAAAGTCATAAGGAACTTTGAAAAGGATGTAAAGCTCAGAAAGAATATAGATCTAGAAATATTTACTCGTCCTCTTTTACGATTACGTTGTGTAAGGAAACATAGGGTTTATTTCGATGTGCTTTCTGAGTTCACCCATGGTCTCCTAAAAAAAATACTATGATTGTACGGCTGGATTTCTTCCTCCCTCCCGGTGAAAGTAAATTTTAACCTGTGTATTTTTACCACTAAAATTTACCTACAGCACTTTTTACTCAGCTAAAGTTAAAATGTTGTTAGCATTGTTCTAAGGCCATCACTGACATCCGACAAAGATGAAATCAAAATCAGCGTTATCTACACCATCGTGTCAAAAACATTCGACAATGCTTCAAGGTGTGCAACCTGAAATAGATTAGAGACTGGCTGCATGATGAAAATATCTGATGTGGACGACAGAAGACTTCTTGTACGGCCTATTAAATTATACACATTTTTTGTTGCATTTCATTTAAACTTATTTCCTCGAACTTCATTAGAGATAGTATATTTCTCAGTCAATCAAGTCAGTCCTCACTTAGCGGCAAGGCAAATATACATAAATACTCAAAGCATCTTCATCAAAAATTGTAAAATCCAGAAAAGCCTAAAACACCAAATACAGTTTAAAAAAATATTCAGTTAAAATAATAGTTTCTACGCAAAAACAAGCAATTCGGCTAGCAGGCAAGAAGACAAATTTTTTGCTGAACAAAATTAGTTTACTTTTGGTCCCATTCTGCAAAAAGACTCTGAAGATGGTGCACCCAACACCTTACCCTGCTAAAAGTCCTTACCCGGCTTTTATTTTCGCAGTCTTTGGTCGCAATCATCTACTTCCAGTTAAAGAAGTGTTTTAAATGACGATATTGACCACCATGTTTAATTTCAAAATTTGCAGTTTTTGATTTTGTTTTCAGCTTGCCTTCAGAGATGGGTTTATTAATTGAAAATAATTCCACGAAATAAGTTTAAATGAAATGCAACAAAAAAATGAGTATATTTGATATTAAAATATAGCCGTACAAGGAAGTCATGTGATGTCCACATCATATTTTTTATTTCACCTTCTACATGGCTATCACCGGCCGAGGTGTCAGGCCGCTCGACACTGATAGTTCACACGGGTTCAGATACCGTCTTGCATAGGAAATTTTTGGCTTTCTTCATGTGTAACACAAATACGCCAATACTTCTTGAAAGCCGTCTACAAAGTCATTCATTCCTTTGGACAGCCCTCGTTAGTTTTGCCATAATCGAATTCAATGTCTTAGGCATGTTGTGCGGTATACTGAGGCTCTAATAAACAGCTTTGGGTCTAGTCTCAATGTTATTTTAAAGGAGACCCATAAAGACAAATTTCTTTTCTTTTATAGAGAAAAAACATAATAATGAAAAAGAAACTTTTTCAGATCTCTGATCAGGCTTTGTTTTGTATATTCATATCCATGGGTTTCTTGGGCATGTAATATCATGTCTCTTCAATATCTTTAAAAGCTATCTACATCCATATTAATGTAAATTCTTTAATTAATATTAATATGAATTTATTTTTCATTATATATTAATTCTTTAATTAATTATATGTGATTTTTTGTGACAGTAACTATATAACTGTTGCATAACAGATGTTAACTTTCAGGTGTTGTGAAGTCCACGATATGTGCTACGTTTTAGCTAGTGAAGGCCCTTGCAAGGATAAAGGAGAAAAAGGAGTATATCAGATAGAATACCAATGGAGTAAGAAAAGCGATGGCACAGCATCTTGTAGTAAGCATAATCACTCATTCGAAACCTGCTGATATTTCTGATAGAAATACGATATAAATTATATATGAAAAAAAAAAAGTTTCATTGAAGAGACCTTCATTTACGTTTTACATTCCAAATTTTCCTTTTAAGTAATGCTACGATTCGAAATCTTGTCTCCAAAGAAATTCGTCCAAGGAAATTCAATTTTATGCGACTTCTAAAATCAAATTTTTCGCCTCGCATTTATTTATTTATATATTTTTTCATTAGGGGAAAGTACTTTAATTTAGATAATTTTGAAAAAATGCGTTCTAGCCATATTTGCATAATACAGTAATAGTTTCTGTTCAAAAGATCTTTAACTGAATTCCTTAATATTTTTATACCAGTTTTTTACAGAGAAATTCTAAGCAAGCAAATTACTAATAAAATTACAATTTTAGAAATTATTAATTATCTTTTAGAGAATTAGTAAATTTCATTTTGTGTATTTTTACTAAAAATGTGACCAAAATTTCTCATAATATGAAAAGCCTGTCTTACATTAGTTGTTTATTAAACTGTAACTAACAGATGAACAGATAGCTGCGCGGTCCTTTTGAAACACCTTACACATATAGTAAGAGAACTTGATGAGAGAGTATAAATATTACACAAAATTTAGCATTTTAAAGTCAAAATTCTCATTCAAAACTTTCCTAAAATTCCTAAAATTTAAAAAGTATTAATTCTTTGACAGTGCAGCTTTCAGTGCTTGTTTTAGCCAAATAATAGAATTACTTTATCAATACTATTGTATATTTTAGATTAGGAATAGCGAACCTTCTAAGATAAGAAATACCGTATTTATTCGCATAAAACCGTATTATTATCGTATAAAAAGGTAAATACGGTAATTTTAAATATTTGCCCTTTTATACTAGTGTTATGGTACGAAATCAAGAGGGGAAAATTTTGCGAATAATTAAATTTTCGAAGGAAAGAATATAATAAAGAACACAACAAAAATTTTAAGAATGTAAAAAATTCGTGTAACAACATAAAAAATTTGTTTGAAATGAAAATTACATAATTTGGACATAAAAAAATAAGCATAATAAACATTTGAATATAAAAAATTTGAAAAAAGAACCTAAAAAGTTGTTTGTTAACAACATAACAAAGGAGTAGTAGTCATGGGTAAAATACCGGTAACTATCATAATACTATTGAGTTAGAAGAGATCTACATTCCAAAAAGATTACGGAGATAACTATAGTAATATATAATACATGTAACGGATCTTCATTTATGTATCCTGTTACTCGAATTTTACCGGCTGTTATTATTTTCCAATACTACTTCCTAGGCCTCAGATCATTTAATGCTGCTCAGTCTTCTGGCAGGTCGTCGCCATCGTTTTCGCCACTATTCAGTTAGCTTTTTACATGCAATAATCTTCAGAACCATTATAAGCATTCGATATCACCATTTTCTTGAAGCTCTTCACTATTATTGTTTTATCATTCAGAACCCATGCACTCAAAAATCCATGAGCAAACAATCTGTAGGATGAAAACAATCACTAAGTGGACGAATCCATTTTAAAATTTAGGGAAGCTCGTTTTAAACAGATGAGGAAAGGGGAAATTGAATTAATAATTAAAAAAAAAAAAAATTCAAAACCTTGCGCTGAAAGGCTAAGGGAGAAAATACGCGAATAAATTCGGTATTTCTTCCCAGTTATCTCAAAATGGAAGAAAAAAAGTGAAATATTTTATAATCTGTCTTAGAGATTTATGAGTAATATTGGAATTAGTATTTCATGTTTGAGACTTCAGTAAATTCAGTGTCCTCTTTTGTTTCAGAAGAGAATGTAGACAGGTGTCCGGACAGTATCTGCTTGTGCGATGCTCTGTTGACGAATTGCCTGAAAAATAATCTGGACAGCTATGACGAGAAGAATTTGCACAAGCTGGACTTCCTAGAACTGTTTCGAGAAGCCAACTGGCTTACCGAAGATTGACGAAAGCAAGAACGCAGATTTTGGCTGTTTGTACCAGTTTTCAAACTATGCCTAACTGCTAGTGATATTTTAATGTTCATCGAACGTGCACGTCAACGAATTAGCGTCCAACTGTATTTTCATCTTCGCAGTATCTAAAGTTACAGAATTATTTATTTTCTGAAACCTCAATTTATATTAACCACTTCAGTCTTTCCGACTGCTCGAAGCCTGTACTTTGCCACATCTTAAATTGACGACTGTAGTGTATTTAACTTTTGGATGTGCAATTAGTTACTTGTGATGGCACATTACCCGGTGATCTGTCAGAGTATGGATTCTAAATTTATATCTCTATTATATATTATATATAACTTATTACGCTATATTCCCACCGATTTATAAAATATTTTTCTTGATGTGATACAAGTTACTTAAATTCAAGCATTTTACATTATGTTTTTTAACAACAGAAAATCTCGATATTTTTTCGTCAGATCTATCTTTTCTCTAAACACTTATGTTCATAAAATTTATTTATGGAAATATTATTAAATAAAGTTATTCTAAATTTATTTCTTTTTTTTTTTACAGATAAAATTTAATACACGTGCAAATACATGGAATTTTTTTAAAAAATATTTATTGGTTTTAAAAATATTTTTAAAAAAGACGAGAATTTTAACTTATTGTATTTTTACACGAAGAATATTTTACATCATACCAGAGTTAATGATAAAAACGGAAAATTAAGGTGAAAATAGATAAGCCCTTCAAATGAGATCATGACTGAATAGATGTACACTTTGCTCCCCCCCCCCCCCAAAAAAATGGGACACTTCTGTATCTTCCGTTCTGCTGGGACGATTGACGAAATTTAACTTGCATTTTTCATGTCTCGAAAGCGCGACTTAGAATATATATTAGATTTATATATAGCATTGTTCTAATATAGGTATTCTGACACAAAATTGGACTTTTTTTTTAAATGACATAACGATTTTTTTCCGTATTTCGATTCCACCACTCAGATTATGCCTAAATATTAAATTTTGTAAAGTTTGATGATAAATTTTAAAATTAGTCTTGGTGCACTTTTTTCAGTTTGCGCCAAGAATAATTCACTTGGCGAAATTCTTAATTTATGGTATTCATTCTTTCAAATAATTTTAATAAAGTACGTAAACCATATTTGGCGTTATTAAGGCTTATAACAAATATGCCAAATTTCAAAACACTCCGATATGTAAATTCACGTATATCTTCGGAAATTTTTAATAAAAAATTCTAATTTTGTGCAGGTATGACTAGAAATACATCTACTTCAAGATGATGGTGAAAATTTTATAGGTTATTATTCAAAATTTTTTTCGAAACATTTATAAAAATTACTAAAGATACAAATTTCGGAAACAAATCAGAAAATAGCTGCGAATTTTATTAGTATTAAACATAAATTTCGAATTGTGAAAGAAGGAATCCAGTATTTTTAATAAAAAAAGAGATTAATAAACCATACTCAACTGACACTGAGGAGCTAAACTTTTGAGAGCTAATTTTTTTTAAATTACTTGTGCGAGTTTTACAAAACTTGGCATTTTGGCATAACTTGAAGCGTAGAATTGAAATATGGAAAAAAAATAGGTATGTCATTTCAGAAAAAGTCCGATTTTAAGTCGAAATACCTATGCAATAAAAACGCTATATATAAATAGCGCGCTCTTGAGACATGAAAAATGCATGTTAAAATTTCTTCAATCGACTCAGTAGAACGGGAGATGTATAACTGTCCTTTTGGGGGTGAGTGCAAGGTACACATCGCAATTCTTCTTCTCTTTTAGACATAAAATAATAAAAGCAATTAAGGCAATTTCTTAAAACGAAAGTTGGTTTTTCGTATTTTAAACAATGGGTTTACTATTGATGCCACCCCTTTGAACCTGAAAATAAAAAAAAAAATCATTTACGTCAATTAATTCTATTAATTACATGACGACGGATTAACCAAAATTCTAAAATGTACATAAACTCATACTTTATGACTCTAACGTGATAAATGTTTTCTGTTTAATTAATTAGAGATGGATAATGTTTTTGGATATCAATGTACTGTGTTCAGAAGTCTAGGAGTTATCACATAAATGTTATCGATCGTAATGCAGAGTTATATTATTTTCGGTCAAGCACAAAGTTATTGAGATAAAATACAAGGATTTTCAAATTCTGATTAGAACGTACTTAATGTTGGATAACAACGTGATGGACAGGGTCCGCAAAATTTTTAGAATTTAGAGAAGCACCGAACATAAATTTTTCAGAAGTTAGAGGAGGCATGAGGCCGAAAAATTTAGGAAGGGAGGAAATTTTCAGAATTTAAGGCGACGCCGGACAACAGAACCTGCAGAAATTGCACTGGATGGCAAAATGCCTGGCGGCAGCCCTGTGGAATTTTTCGTTTACGGAAAATGAAATCTCAACACCTGGGCAATGTTAGCAGCGTCTTTAGTGAGTTTGAAGGAGACCATGCAATAGAACTACGGGAAGGTGCATTTTCTTTTGGAATTTTGCAGAACGAGTTGCCAGGAATGTATCCACTGTATATGCGTGTTGAGAGCAGTGGTCATAGGAAGGTACTGCATCAACAAGATCGGATGACGGCAGCACACTCGCGACTACCCAAAGGGAAGACCAGCGTATGTCTATAGCGAATCGTATTACTTCTACAGTAGACAATGAAGATTTTGTCGGCACCATAGCGACACAGCGAATTTTAACAAATCGATTACTTGAGGGTCAGCCCCGAGCTAGACGCTTTGTAGCAATGCTCTTAACTCCACCGCCATCTACGGCTTCGGTAATGTCAAGCTAAAGCTCAGTAGAGGGCGGAGTGAGATCTGTTTGTGTTCTCGGATTGGAGCCATTACTGTCTTGGTGCTAGTGGTCACCGTATGTTGGTTAGAAGGAGACAGCGCCGGCGCAAGGTTATCCGGCGCCCGCCTGCAAAATGGCTGAAGTCGCCCCCCCCCTTTTCTAAATTTTTGTATAGGAGAAGGAAGTTTTGAATAAAGCATTTGTTGAAATTGATTTTAACAATTTATTGAGAATAATTTATTTTTCTGCATTTCATATTTAAAAATTTTTCTATAATTTCTTTTGCATCTAGTTCTTGACAGATTTCATTTTCAATGGCAATCAAAGCTAAATTTATGAGTCTTTCCTGCGACATACTTGAACGTAAATATGTCTTGATCAAGTTTAATTTGGAGAATGAGCTTTCGCTACTAGCAACGCTAACATGAATGCTAAGTAGTATTCTCAGTACGATCTTCAAGTTCGGGAAGCACAAATTATTTGACACAATTAAGTTCAAAATATCGAATGGGTCATTCATACCGGCTGTAAAAATGTCTTTCGAAGCTACTATTTCGTCATAGTGTTCTTCTGCGTTAATATCTTTATTGTCACCACACTGTAACAATTTTTGTAATTTATCACATTTTATTTTCAAATTTGCGTTATCGATTTCTGATAAATTACCCAGGAAACTAAAATTATAGCAGTGTTTTTTCATTCCATCAAATCTTTCGTTTAATGATGTTCAAGCAGTATCCAAAATTCTAAAAAAGACATTTGCTCTGAACTTATCTTCTGGAGATTGAGGGGATTCGTCAGCATGTTCGTAATCGAAGTGACATTTCTTTTTTTCCTTCTTCAACAGTTTTAAATTGTGGCTCACCATCCACTTCTTCACTAAGTTCTTTGGTTTTCTCAAGAATACTTTTGTAATTGATATCACTTCAATATTCTTCAATGAATGTTTTTAAGTTACTTCTTGCCTTTAAGGCTAGTGTAACACTCAAACCCTTTTCTTGCAATTGTTTGCTGACAGGATTAATTCTGTTAAGCAAATCGTGCCAAACTATCAAGGAACAAATAAATTTATAATCCTTGATTTTGGTACACAGACTTAGTGCTTCATGATGCCCTTCGTTTGAAAAGCATTCATCTTCGGATATTTCAAAGAGAGCATCATAGATTTCTTCTAGTTGATATCTTAAAGGTCGAATAGCTTCAATTTTGCTTTCCCATCGAGTGTTTGAGAGGGGTTTTAAGGTTAAACAGGAAATGTTTTTTAAAAGAACTGCCCATCGCTTAGGAGAAGAAGAAAATAAATTGTATAATTCTTGAATTGTCGGAAAAAAAACTAACTGTGTCTGCATTCACTTTTGCTGCATCGTTAATCATTAAATTTAAGCTATGAGAGGCACAAGGAACATAAAACGCACGAGGATTTATTTTTAAGATGCTATTTTGAAGACCATTTTTCTTCCCTTTCATATTTGCGCCGTTGTCATATCCCTGGCCTCTTATATCATCAAGGGGAATGTTCCACATTTTCAACATTTCCATTACTGTCTCACATAGCCCGTTACCTGTAGAATCATCAACTTTAATAAATCCTAAAAAATGTTCCTTGATTTCTCCCACTCTATCACTGCAGAGAACAAAACGTATGACGACACTCATCTGTTCAGTGCTAATATCGGGAGTACAATCTAAAATTATAAAATAATACTTGGCTTTTCGAAGAGATAGTAAGATTTTCTCTCTTATACTACTGCCAATTTCATTTTGAGTATCTTTGCTTAGATAATGAACTTTGCTGTTGCTACCTCTAGGTCGTAATACTCTTTCTATGTGAAATTCCATAACAGGGTCGAATTTTGCAAACAATTCCACTAATTTAAAAAAATTTCCGTTGTCGTCTTTTTGGTACAGCACATCAGATGAGCCTCGAAAGGCTAAATTCTGGCTGCCAAGAAATTTTGTGATCTCAATCAGTCTCCCTAAGACATTTGACCAATTTTTTTTTTTTTTTTTTTTTTTTTTTTTTTTTTTTTTTCAATACATCTCTTGTGTTTGGGAATCAATTGTTGTTTTATTTTTCAAATTTTTCTCAAGCTCTTTCCATTTTAAGAAATTTTTCATATGTGCTCTACTAATCTCATGCCTATGCAAGGCTTTAGATACATTTAGCCAATCGTTATAGCCTTTTACAAGGCTGCTACTGTCAACCGATGCAAATATCTTGCAACAGAAGCAAAAACACAGAATTTGTACTTATAGAATATAATAGCCATGTACGGGGAACTAATTCTCCGTTTTCCATTTTTCTGTTATAATATGTATCACTAAATTTACCTCCATTATTACTTTTCGGATACATTAAACCTTTCCTTTGAATAGGCCCCAATTCAGACATTCTCACTTTGTCGCTAAGAGTTGGCCACTTTGCAGGATCATCAAAATCAATATAAAGAAAGGAATTTTCATTTATGCCAGTCTCTTCCATCGAATTACCTGGATAATCTCTAACTTCCGATTTATTTAATACCATGCTTGGATCATCTTTCTCTTTCTTTGGAGTTTCATCAGTCCTTTCAATAACTTCATCCAATGCTGCTGATGTTCTTTGGCTGGATGATGTCTGTTCCTTTGTAATTGATTCTGATGCTGATTCAGTGTGAGCATCATTTACGCCCGAAGAAGTCTTCATCTTCTTTATGAACTGA